TATATATATAATATTTGCAAATGCTAAATTTTTTTTTTACCAAGGGCAAGTACCCCCACTCTCCGATACATGCATCCCGTCCGTGCTAAAAAGAATACACAATTGGAAAAGTCCACTCAGAAATGTTCGTGAACTAATTAAGACCGGTTCATGGAATAATTTGATAAATAAATTTATATATAAGTACTTACATAAAAAAAATTGAAAAAAGACTATACATAAATAATGTAAAACAATTTTATAAATATCTAATTATAAATCATTGTTTTAGTAATTGTTTTTTTACTTTTACAATAATTATCGTAAAGTCAAATCAATCATAATTTTTAATTAATTTAGTGTAAAAGATTTTACATTGACCATATATAACCATTAAACCCATAAAAGAATCTGAAAATATGTCACAAAAATAGTCGTGTGAATAACATCACCCATATACATTTGTTTGTTTGCAATGTGGGTCAAGGGCCTAGTATCTATTTAGTGCCCCGGCCCCAAGTTCTTTATTTGGACCTTAGCTCACGTCTGTTTTAGCATGCCCTAATGTGTTGATTCATCCCTAAAAAAGAACTGTTTTTTTTTAATATATAAAAAAGAGAGCTGAATAATGAGTAGTATAGAATGACGAGAAAATAAAAATAAAGTCATTGAATTTCAAAACAAAAGACGACATGGCAAAATGCAACAAATTTGTGAACACAATCATAGAAGAGTGACCTGAGTTCACGAATTTAAGTAATGAAAAAGATTGTCTGCTTCTCCTCGGTTAAGTTCGTATATATAAATCTTGAAATATCAAAAGAGCCATAAATTCAATAGATTTAAAGTTTAAAATTCCTATGTTGCTATTATTACAATATATATTTGAATGTCACGTAATTACATTTAGGGTTTATTTTCGTGTCATGTTCATATAAGTCAAGCTTTATTACAAGAGATGTTGTTTGATTGAAAGTTGCTGTGTGCACTGTCGTTTCATACACCATCCCAGAAAGAAAAAGAGGAAATGAAAAACTGAAGCGAAAATATGAATGTAAAAAGTAAAAGGAGCGTTTGAGTGGAAGCGGGAAGAGAGATGCAATGCAATTGCAGCTAGCATGAGCAGTGAGGAGGGACCCATTCACCACTATTGTGACTTCCAGCTAATTCCTGCCAACACATTTTTGTCCCTAACATTGTTTTATTATAAATTCAAAATATGATTTTTTGTGAACATGACACACTATAACGTTACCCTAAAATTAAGACACGAAACGGCAATGTTGCATGCACCTTGTCTTGTTCAAACTCAAAAGCAGAAAAAAATAAAATCATAGAGCACAACCGTGACTACACAGTGAATTAAGGGCGAGGAACAACAATAGCCATTTTTCCATGGCCACGTAGTCACGCTCATAACTTTAAATTACATTGCTCAACACTCTCTTTTAATTTCCTTCAATGATTTAGTAAAGATAGAACAACCATACTTTCCTTCTTTGAACATAAAAGAAATTTTGATACATTCAAAAAATTGATACGTTTGTTAAGAGGTAGATGAATGGGTCGGACGGGATGACAATAGAGAAATTTAAATGCTGACTTAAAATGTTGGTCAACCAATCCAAAATGCTTGATTGACCCCAAGAATGAACTTTGAACGGTGATGTGATAAAATGGGAGGTTCCAGATCCTTCTGACACCCACTGGACGATCCTCATTGGTTGGACACATTTGTTACCCTAGTCCTTAGACCATCTGATTTCATTTAGTTCTAAACATCCCTTCTTGCGACTCGCGACTCACAACGGGGAAGGGGCCGTTGCCATTATAGAACTCAATTTTTTTTTTACTTAATACATTAGATATCATTTTAGCGGTTTCGTTTATCATACAAGTATACAACTATGTATCATTAAAAAAAAAGAAAAAAAACTGTTCTGGAGTAGATCAAGTTGGTCTTTATATTTTGTTTGCTAAAGTTTAGACACGTGTATTAGCTAATTTGGTAAGCATGTTAGAAAGGTGAAAGATAAATTTTGATAATTGGAACGTTAAGCTAAGGAAGTGAAAGAGAGCGTAGTGGTCCTTACCTGTGGGCGTGGCACACCCTGCAGTCAGCATATATAGGTAAAAACGAAGAAGGAGGTGGTGCAAATTAATTAATTAATTAATTAAACGAGGCAAATTGAATTGAATTTTGAATTTGTTCATTTCATGATTAATAATTATGTTGATCAAATTCCCGTTGGACTAGGTGATAAGTATCCTGAATTCATGTCTAGATAGGGAAAGCATACATAAGAGTGGTGAAGAAAGAGCAGATGAATCTACATTGGCACTACAAAACATATATATATCATAATAAAAAGAGTTCTAGAGGGTTTCATTTGGCTTAGATCTGCGCCGTTATTCTCACCCTTTTCCTTCTCAAACCCACAACACCACAAGGGATGATAATCCAAGTGCAGAGACAAGCCAGAAGGCGGCGGAGGCCGGAGGAGCGCCGCCGCCCACGTCGGGATGCGGAGGGCCGTAGAAGTAGAAAGGAAAATACGGCACAATCGGGTTGGGCGGCGGCGGCCGAGGGTAGCTTCCGCCGCTGGGAGGAGGGTAGTAGTAGATTCCTCCACCTCCAGAGGATGCGGGAGGTGGTGGTGAGGAGTATGTATACTGAGAGGGTGGAGGCGGGGAATAGTAGGAGGCTCCTCCGGCGGAGTTGGGAGGAGGAGGAAGTGGGTTGCAAGGGTTTTCACAAGAGGAACACATTGTGCACTGGATCTGCGCGTGTGACGTGGCTTTTATGGGATTTCCATCTTCTGCCATTGCCACACTAGCAACTACTACCAGCAACACCGTCCAACACCACCACCTCATCTTTAACTTCAACTATGGACTCTGGGAACAAAAGATAATCTTGGCTACTCTCACTCACTACCTCTTATCTTTTAAGCTACATCCCTCATATATTTTCTTATTAAATTAAATTTACGCACCTACTTTATGTATATCACCATTTCAACGTATGGTTGGTTAACGGACACCAGATAAAAAGTTATAAAAAATAATAGAACCACTTATTGTACAAGATGACTATTGACGCCGACACGTTTGAATTCAACACTCATGCTAGCCAGGACTAAGGTAAATTAAGCTACAAAATATGTACCTCGGAGGACTATGCTTCTACGGATTTACCACTTCCGCTGTAAATTTCTCCTTCTTTTGCACCTATATATTTGTTTCTTTTATTTCTATTCACCATTTTTTTGTTCATTTGTGGAGTTAATGTCATGCATGAGTTCGACACATTAGGTGATACTGATGATGATGCTTTCCACTTTCAACTTATAATGTGCCAATACAACAAGCAAGAGACGTAAAGCCCACGGAAGCTCCACACCCACCTTTTCCCGTTAGGAACAGTTTTACATAAGGTACACAAATGTTCAAATGCATCTGTCCAAATAAATAAATAACACTCTATCCTTATTCAATCCGTCAAAAAAAAAAAAACACACTAAAGGATCAGGTTGAAATGAATTTGAAGCCAACCCAATCTATTGCATGTTGGGCTGGAGAGGTCCATGTCTATCAAAATTAAAAAACAAATGTAAAAGAAAAACTTGTGTTATAAATAACTGAAAAGTTAATTGATCAAATAAAAATATATATATGAATCATTTAAACTAAAATAACAACACAAATATAATAATGTTATCCTACTAATTTTTTTTTGCTCAATTATTATTATTTTTTAAATAATCATCATAGGTAAAATAAAAGTAGTGCAAATCAATAAACTAATATGAAATTCATAATGTTTCATAAATATTCGTAAGTTAAAATATTCTTAAGTCTAGGTATAAACTAATTTTAACTTTTAAATGGACTTTTTTTAATTTTTAATTTTATATTTTTTTCTCTTAAAAATACTCATGAATAAATTTATCTAAATAAATATTTTTTTTATGATGGTATACATTTTTGTAAATTTTTAGTGTAGAAATAATATAGCTTTCATTTTTACTTCTGCAACTGTATATGCAATTTATAATGCGTACCCAATGTTATACTTATCCTAAATCCTAATTTGCCACAGTTGAACCAGCTACTCAGGATACAGGTCGGCAACCATCTTCCCGAGATAACTATTTTATTACACCAATATGCACACTATTTAATTATTTATAATAACTAGCTTTAACTAAACTTTAACTAAACTATGACTTTGTTTTAATTACAAACCTGAAGATTTCAATTGCTTCGAGTTTCTTAATTGAATAACATTTCTAACATAACATATGTTATTCAAGAAAATAATAAATGAAACTTATCTTTCTTTGACAAACTCATCAGATGGCTACATTTCTAAGAGAACGGCATTTATTTGTCTCTTCATGATCTCACTGAAATTTAGGTGTTTACTGACCAAATAAACAGCTACAATTAAAGTCAAACCAACGGGAACTATTTTCATATAACAACACTTTAATGGTTAGTGCTAAGAATAATTATGCTATTCAACTGATACAATTTCATTGATCCCAAATTCATTTTGTGGTAAATTATTGAGTAACTATTTATCTTGTGAATGGAAGTTTATGCAATTTTTCTTTCCTGCTTTATCCTAATTAAAATAACCTATAAAATCTTACTCACCAATCAAACACTGAAGAGGGTGATTGAAATACAGGTTTGCCCCCCTTTCAGCCTTTCTCTTCCTTCTGTTCTCACATTCTCTCTTTTTAGATAAATAGGAAGAAACATGGCACTGGATAATCCAATACTAACATGGCAAAAGAATGCAACTAGTGCAAATTAAATCAATTAACTAAAACACTTTTAAGTCCAATTTTTTTATTTTGTAAATTGGAAGAGCATAAACTAATGATAGTGGTGAAGGCCTTAATCTTCAAAAGCAAAAAAAAAAATGCATGCATTTGTCAACCAATATCACCGCCAAGTCTACGCCAACATCAAATATATATGTGAGAAAAGGTGCATTAAGGACACACAGGAATTACATTCTAAAGGAGTGAAAAGGTGCATTGAGTGAAAGCTAACATCTTTTTCAGCACATTATACAAATATTTTGCTGAGACTAAGTTGGTAAGTGTTTTATAATATGAGTAAATTTATTTTTGTTACTTGTAAAAGGTTATTCGGCCTATTCTTCTTGTATAATTTTTTTGTGTTTGAAATGATTATTTATCGAGAAAAAAAAGTACAGAACTTTTTGTAGACAGTAAAATTTTACAATTTACATAAAAAAAAAAAAAAAAAAAATTCAGCTGAGCACAGCTTTGCTTGCTGAATTTTTCGGTACACTTTTCCCGTCTTACCTGCCATTTGCAAAGGCCTAAACTTCTTAGTCTTGTAGTGCTTGCTGGAGTTAACCCAAGAGAAAAAGTTGATGCTCTTTCTTCATATAAATAACATGGATCATGAAGCTTCCGTATAAAGAGAAAAAAGTAGTTACCATCTTGCATTTGTTTTTTTGTTATGAAAGTAAGTAAATTTTAAATTCAGAGTAGAATAGGATCGTGATTGGATTCAATGGGGTGAAGTGGGTCAGACAGAAATCTTTCATATGCGTACCTCTGAAAATCCCTAAGAAAGAATTAATGTCGTTTGAGAGTAAATTGAGTCTTATATAAAAAATAAATGGAGGTACTTGTATATAATAGTACTATTTATATACCCGTTGTGCACTGATTTCTTTTCCTTTTTGTTGTCCCAGTTTCCATAAGTTGAATGTGCTTGAGAAATGAGAACCAAGGTGGAAGAAAGGAGATACAGGGAAACATGGTACATCTAGGGTCAATTTAGATAATAAAAGTACTTTTAAAAAAGAAAAACTGAAATAAATTTTTACACAGGTTAAAACTAATTTACGTAAGAGTTCAAAATAATATTTTAAAGAAGTTAATAATAATTTTTTTTTACAAATTAGCTCATGTATAAATTAATTTTGATTTATAAAAAAAACATTTCATTTTATTTTTCTCATTGAAAAGTATTTATGGAGAAATTTAGTGAAACATACTCGTGTTCTTGATCGTCTGAATGGAGTGCGTTGGACGTGATCATGAGGAATGTCACTAAAGAAAGGGACAACGTGCGCCATTACATGTTCACCACCCCTTCAGGGTTGCATCGTGGGACAAAACTATATATAGCATCCCCAAACACGTTTTTCACACTTTTTCCAACTAATCTTATTATTTAATATTCTATTTTCCGCACGAACTGCCTTTAGATATTAAGATCCCAGATAAAATTTTTTTCTCATAGTCCTATTCTTCAATTGAATAACAAAATCTCAACTCAAAAGGATTAGCATTTAAATTTAGATTGTTCTTTAAAAATATGTGAAGTTTTCTATTTCTATTTGAGGTTGAATGATCCAATAGGCCCGATTCCATGTAGTAACAAGAGAAAGGTTCAAAGGCCCAGATTGGTAAGATCCCGCTCGTGGACTATCTTACAAGATGGGCTGGGTTATTTGTGTCATTTTGGGCTGTCTCAGTGGCCTCTTGTACGGGCTCCTATTGTCATCTGTGTGGGACGTCAACCCAATATCCAAGGATGGTTCCTCTCTACTCATGGAAAGGAAATACTCGAGATTATTCATTTATTTCCAATGTTCCAATAATAGCTTGACATTTTTGAAATTAAAGTAAAACACAGTATCGATTAAAAAGATCTATTATACACATAACAGCCCATTTGCACATTTTTCACAACTTGATAGTAGAAGAATTTACCAAAATTCACACTCTACCATTTGTATAATAGTGAACGTGTTTGGATATAAATGAAAAATATTTTTTTAGAGTTCTTTGAGTAAAGATAAAAAAAATATTGTTTAATAAAAAAATTCTAAATAACACTTTGAAACCTGAATCGAAGTATGTTAGATTGAGAGAGACGTGGCCGCAACTCAAGCCGCGGATATTTAGCTTTTGATAGAGAACAGAATATTTCACTGTTGTCATAGGTTTGACCCAATTAGGCTGTATCATTTGTATTATTATGTCCACAATACAAATCAAGTGATTCATAACACTTGAAATTGCACTCTCTTCATAACTTCATTAACCCAAGCCAATCACAGAACCAGCATCCAAAAGCTGCCTTTTCATTGAGGATCTACCAATTCAATTCAAATTAAAGCACTGTTAAATGGAACGTTTGAACTACACGGTCAAATACTGAAACAAATTTGAATAGCTTATGAAAATGGAAGGCCACGCAACGCAGTTGCAAGTGGGAACCCCATCATCATGCTCTGTCCTTTGAAACAAGAAACCAAACACGGCATAAAAAAAAAACAAAATAAAAATCGAAACACGTTCGAACACTAGACACTGATTAGTGATTACAGCTGTAGGCCCCTTTTCTTTGCATATTTCTGAAGCGCGTTTCTTTCACATTCTCTCTCATAAAAAAGGAAAGAACGTTACTCTTTTTCTATGCCTCGCGTTTCTCTCTCTTTGTTCAAATTTCGAATTCGAAACACACCGAAACCCATACCAAGATGCTCCTCCGAACCCACAGCTGCCACGTCAGCAGCATCTTCGCCGCGTTAGCCATCTTCCTCGCAACGGCGACGTTCGCCGCCGCGCAATCTTGCAACGGCATCCAGCTCTCCTACGCTTACACCGGCGGCGAGCGCCTCCCTCCCAACGTCTCCGACGCGGCGAAGCAGCCCTACCGGTTCCAGTCGACGGTGACGGTGCTCAACAACGGCCTCGACGAGCTCAAGTCCTGGAAGGTCTTCGTGGGGTTCGATCACGACGAGTTTTTGGTCTCCGCCTCCAATGCGGTGCTCGCCGATGGCACCACCCTCCCCGCCGCCGTCGGAAACGGCACCGTCTTCGCTGGCTACCCCATGACCGATCTCAAGACCGCCGTCGAAACCGCCGGCGACTTGACCCAGATGCAGGCTCAGATCAACCTCGTCGGCACCGTCTTCGGGGTGGCGCCGCCCAATGTTCCCATGCCGGCGTCCATCAACCTCGCTAACGATGGATTCATCTGTCGGAAATCCTCCACTCAAGGTAGCTTTTTTCTCCTTGATCTGTGATTGTAGGTTAGGTGTTTCTGAAAATGATGATATGAAAAAGTTGAATTTTTGAGTGCAATGAAGCGTTTGTTTTGTTTGATCTGTGAATTGGTTAACTGGGTTTAGTGAGATGGTGTGATTAATGACATGGGGTGGGTGGGTTTTTGGTTTTTCAGGGAAGAATGCGAGTAGTGTGTGTTGCACGAGAGATCCCAAGTTCAAAACTAACATAACCACGGATGAAAAGTTTCTGCCACGTCAGAGTGGTGATCTGACAATCATGTATGATGTGATCAGAACTTATGATTCCAATTACTGGGCTGAGGTTACTATCGCAAACCATAACTCCCTTGGGAGGCTTGACAACTGGAGGTTGAGCTGGGACTGGATGAATGATGAGTTCATTTATTCTATGAAAGGTGCTTATCCTTCTGTTGTGGATGCTTCTGATTGTCTTTTTGGGAAGCAAGGTACATTCTACAAGGAACTTGACTTTGCCAATGTGTTGAATTGTGAGAGAAGGCCCACCATAATTGATCTCCCTCCCACCAAGTTCAATGATTCTGAGCTTGGGAAGATTCCCTTTTGCTGCCGGAATGGTACTATTTTGCCTCCATCCATGGATCCTAGCATGTCAGCTTCCAGATTCCAAATGCAGGTCTTCAAGATGCCGCCGGCGCTTAACCGCTCCCAGCTTTCTCCGCCGCAGAACTGGAAGATAAGTGGTTCACTCAACCCTGACTACAAATGTGGCCCTCCTGTGCGAGTGAGTCCTACTGAAAATCCTGATACATCCGGCTTACCATTGAACAAAACCGTGATCGCCAGTTGGCAGGTTGTATGCAACATAACAGTGGCCAAGGGAACATCAAGCAAATGCTGTGTCTCGTTTTCAGCTTACTACAATGATTCAGTTATTCCATGCAAGACATGTGCTTGTGGATGCTCCAAGAACACACAGAGGACATGTAGCACTACTGCTCCAGCTATGTGGCTTCCACCGGAGGCACTTCTTGTTCCTTTTGAGAACCGAACTGCCAAGGCGGTTGCTTGGGCGAGTCTGAAACACCTCCGGGTGCCAAACCCTATGCCTTGTAGCGATAACTGTGGTGTGAGCATCAACTGGCATTTGTTCACTGACTACAACAAAGGATGGAGTGCAAGGGTCACACTTTTCAACTGGGGTGAGACTAATTTTGCAGACTGGTTTGCTGCGGTTCAAATGGACAAAGCAGCTGCAGGTTTTGAGAAAATGTATTCATTCAATGCAACTGCTCTAGATGGTGTCAACAACACAATAATCATGCAAGGTTTGCCAGGATTGAACTACCTTGTAGCAGAAACAGATGGAGCTGACCCTCTGAAAGATCCTAGGGTGCCTGGTAAACAACAATCAGTGATCTCATTCACCAAGAAAACCACTCCTGGAATCAATGTGGCTCGTGGAGATGGGTTTCCCACTAAAGTCTATTTCAATGGGGAGGAATGTTCTCTTCCTTCAATCTATCCAACAAGCAGTGGTTTCAGGAATGGTTTTTCCTTGGCCACTTCCTTGCTTCTACCACTGTTGCTGATCCTCTTGACGCTGTAATAGTGGCTATGTTTGATTTCCCGAGACAGGATTTGATTCATATATTGACCTCACCACAGAAACTCAGTGGACTTAGTCGTGCTGTTGTAACATTCATGCGTGTGTCTGGTTTGGATGCTGTGGCAGTCATTGTTCAATTCATGTGATTCTTTCCAGCATGTTACAGTACAGAAGATTGTAGATTTGTGTTAGATGATACTTGATAGAAATATATATTATTCCTTTTTATATCGAAAGTTTATTGTTTTTTCTTTCTTTGTTTGCGTTTTATCTGAGTAGTTCTTTCGTAGAGGGTGGTTATCACAGGAAATCAAATCATTATTTGACTAATGCAAGAGATTGAGATTATGGGCTAAATGTACTGTCCATTAAAAATGTATTACAAATCCAAGGAAAGCAAAAACAATGCCTAATAAACATGGTTGGTGTATATAATTAAAGAATTTACCTTTGTCTTGGTAGGTGATGAACACATCGATTCCATTGATGACTTAGACTCTCTTTGGATAATTTTTTTAAAAGTATTTTTCGAAGAGAAAAATAGACACAAAATTGAATTGACCTTTATCAGAACTTAAATTAGTTTATGTATGAATTAAAAACAAGATTTAAGGAAACTAATAAAAAAAATTACAAATTAATTTATTAAGTTAATTTGGGTTTATAGAGAATTTTGTTTTATTTTTTTTTTCTCTCTTGAAAGGAGTTTTGGAGAAGTTTATTTAAAAAAACTTTTAAATAAAAAAAATGAGCTTGTATCAGTTAATTTATAATTGATTTTAAAATCAACGAAAGTCACTGTACATAATCAAAATGTTTTAAAATTAATCTCAATTATAAACGGTGGAAATAATTGGTTCTGAGCATAAAACATGAATGCCTTAAATTGGAAAAGAAACGGGGTTTGCTTGCAAGAAAATATTTTCCCTTTGAAAAAAATGTATTTGATTGTACTTTTATTTTAACTTTTTTTTGTGATTGATTATATTTTTTTTAACATTATTTAGAATATTTTTTTTATTAAAATGATTAATAAATAAAGGTTTAACGATGGAATCTAAAACCAACTTTATTAAGTTATAAATATCTTAAATTGAATAAAGTAAAAGTTCAATAATATGATAGCAAATTGTATACACATATTAATTCAATAATTAATATATTTGTGGAGTAATAAATAAAGAATAACGGTATTCATACCACAATTTGAAAAATATCATTTTTTATTTCTCACTTCATCATTAATAAATGTTATAAATAATATTAAAGAAATCAATACAAAAAAATAAATTACGAGAATGTTAAGTTGACTCCATGTTTAAGAATAAATTTTATAACTATCAAACCAAAAAACTTTATATAT